TGTGGCATTTAGGGAGGAAGACCAGGTGGGGGAGGCATAGGTGAGCTTGGGAAGTATGAATGTTGTGTAAACACTGAGGAGCTCGTGTGCAGGAACTCCGAGGGACTTGAGTCGGCGGAGGAGGTGGAGACGGAAACTGGAGGATTTGACAACTTCACTGACGTGTGGTTTCCAATTTAGTTTGTTGTCTATGGTGACGCCGAGGAGCTTCGTGGAATCTACAACCTGGAGTGTGTTGGGACCTAAAGTAATGGAAGGAGGTGGGACAATGTCGGAGGAGAGGTTGATGTGCATAACCATCGTCTTGGTATGGTTGATGGTGACATGGTTGTTGGTGGCCCAGTTTTGGAGACTGTTCAATTATTGTGCTATGCCCAGCATACAGATAGACACTGCCCAATTTTGTAGAAGGGCAGTAGGCTAAGTGATGCAGTGTTCATTGGATCAATATTTTTTTCCCTGAATGTCTTTGAATCTCACAGTAAGGATGTAAAGAATTTTTGTGTAGTCACTATTTTTGAACAGGAAAGTAAATTTTATTTTTACATTCATTTGGCTTAACATTTGATCCTGTACATTTTACCTGTGGAAAATCTATTAGGCATTAATATTGAATTTATTCTAAATAATATAATTATATACTGTATATTATTTCTCTGGTAAATACTGTATTTTTTCACTAATTTAAGAGTTATTCTGCAAGATTTCCAATGTGATACTGACAAGAACTCAACCAGGTAGGAGTTTCATTGTAACTACACTGTTTAACAGTTAAATGTTGAATGGAAATTACATGTATTGCATACAAAGATGGTGTGACCCAATCATTTGTATTTTGTCCTTCCACAGTATGTATTACATTATTGTACTGTACTGTATCACAAAATATTTAAAGAAAATGCATTATAACCTTCCCAAATGTCTGTATAGGTATTGTTGCAATACAGTACTGTACAGGGGGTCCCTGGATTACAAACGGGTTCCGTTCCTGAGGATGTTCTCGAGTCGGATTTGTACACAAGTTGGAACACATGCTATGTGCATACAGATACCGTACTTACAGAACAATGTTTAAAATCCCACTATAGCATAGCCTAAGTCCTTATATAAATCTAAAATCACTTAATTTAAGTCAAAGAAGAAATACAAAATAAGTCATCTGGTAAAAAATATAATGTAAATTTCAAGTTTAACCCCGTTTGTATCGGCATTCGTTCATAAGTTCAGACGTTTATAAGTCGGGGACCTGTATCTTTAAAACAGCCATTTAACTTTGCTTAGTGTCTTCAATATTGCAAATTATTACAGTATAAACATTGCAATGTAGCCTTCCATAGATCTGTAACATTGCCATGAACAGTAAAGTAAATTTGTTGTCTGCAATATTGAGAAATGATAAAGATTTATTTACATGTAACCCAGTTTGGCAATAAGTATGGGCTTCTCTTTACCAATTTCGAATGTATCTGAAATAAACACAAATACTTAAATTATGTCTATGAATTATTCCTCTAACTTTTACTCTAGAAAATTTCATACCAGACTTTAATGTTTTGAGTTGAAAGTCCAGACATTATTTTCAAACCCATAAATGTTTAGAACCGATGTAAGTTGTTGGAGAGCCCTTGGGTCCACATTGGCTTTGTTATCCATGCCTAAACCCGGCATCACTAGGCATCACCCCTTCTTGACATTTTTGGGGAATGCCTGCAGTTGCCTAGTTTATACTATAAGCGGCTATGATGTGGCAATATAAGTTCATAAACACTTCAGAGAACATCCACTCGAGCATTCATACATAGAGGCTGGAACTAGAGCAAAGGTATAGAGTTTGGTCAACTCTATATATGGCTCTGAACTAGAGCTTAGGTAATACTTATAATTAATTTACGTTTTATGACCGTATTTATTACTGAAAATGAGTATAAATAGAAAATAACTAATTAATGATAGGGTAAGTGCCAAATAACTACATAGAGACGAGTATTTTCCTTTAAATATGGGTTAATGGTATCTTGTGTTATGTTTAGTACTGTAAACCCTACAACACGTCTTGGTCCGATTCTGTATTTATTATTTATGGTTAATATTCGAGCCATTTGCCAACTGCAGATTCCCACCATGTTTTCCTGAGGTTAGAGTCAGTTGTCTCCTCCTTATTCTCGTACCAAAACCTGAGAACAGCCAATGGACGAATATTTACCGTTATTAATTGACCAGATTCATTTTCTGGTTACTGTTTCTTTGTTAGACGTGAGTTTAATAGAAGCTTTAACACTCATGGTCACTGAGATCTATGACATGACAAAATTGGGATTTTTATATGTTGCATGAGGTTAATCCCTGCCTTCTGGCTTTTACTACAATGTTTTTTTCTTGATTTATTTTTGTAATTGTCTATTCATTGCTCGAGTTTAATCTAAGCATATAAAATAATATACGCCTTGTTTAAATATAATTACACAAACTACATAACATTATTCCAGAGATTCTCCTGTTATTTTTCTCAGGGCCTTGTAGCACACGGAAACTGGAAGCACAGACCACAATATTACATTAGATAAGAGACAGAGAGAATTAAATTAAAACAATGCAGTTAAAGGCTATTGGAAACATATAATAGGAAATAAAGACAAAGCCATGAGAAAATATCGATTAAAAACAGGGATAAATATATGAAAATCTAGGGATGGAAAAAGATGTAAGTAGAGGACAGAAATGGACAGGAAGACAGTAAGTAAATAGAAAGAAGGAAAGTAATGAATGAATGGTAATTGGGCAGGTCCAAACTAGGTGACGGGGGAGGGCGGGATGAGGAGTACTTGCTAAGCCTGTACTCAGAATTTAACCCCACTAATACATCTCGACTATATCCTAACGCAACCTAACCTAATATGTATCTAATATAATATGAATTAGCCGTAACATCAAATTTAGCCTTGTTTAACTTGTCATAAGCGTGTGTTCCAACGTAATTATACCCCTAGTGCAACCTAGAACGTGTCCTTCAATTTCATTCCGATTCATCCTTACCAAAGTATGTTGTTTTGGTGTAAATATAACCTCCTGAGATATGTTTAGACTAGCTTTGTAATAGTGACAATTCAGCGGAATGCCAAAGGTTGTTAAGGAAGGTATCGCTTGTTCTCCAGCACACCAAGGCTTCTCATTGGTCAGGAGGTTACTGAACACTCCCACTTCACGTGACGTGGACCGAGACCTCTGTAACCAGCCATCACTCATCAGTGTGTGTGGGGCCACCGTGGTGTGAGTTGCTGGGAATACACTGGTCGACAATTTTTACGGCTACCGGACTATTTTTTTTAACTTTTTAAAAACTATTTTAAATTTCTGAATCAATAGAAAACCCTTGGGACTTGAGAGGCTATACTACAACCGTACAATGGAACAAAAAGGCAATGAAAACATCTCGAATTCGGTGGATCGTACCGGAGGTGTGACGACCCAGGTGGATAACTCACCCTTGTGTGTTGTGCCGGACGATGACTTGGACGAAGGAGGTGAAGTACCACTTATAGGGAATAACGCATCACTTACATGTGTGGAAGCGCCTGTGGGTGCCGAGGTAGCGCCGTCTTCATTACACAGCAACTCTTCTCCTTTACGCGGCCACAACCCAATCATTTCCCGTATTTCCAACCCGCCCTCCTCATCCTACGCCAACCCGCCCTCCTCATCCTACGCCAACCCGCCCTCCTCATCCTACGCCAACCCGCCCTCCTCATCCTACGCCAACCCGCCCTCCTCATCCTACGCCAACCCGCCCTCCTCATCCTACGCCAACCCGCCCTCTTTATGCTACGCCAATTTAATCTCGCCCTACATCAACCCACCCTTCTTTATCCACGTCAACCTATTAGCGCCCCAGGCCAACCCACCCCACGCCAACCTTATCTCTCCCCACGCCAACCTTATCTCTCCCCACGCCAACCTAATCTCGCCCCACGCCAACCCACCCTTCGCCAACCCACCCTACGCCAACCCACCCTACGCCAACCCATCCTACGCCGATCTGATCTCGCCCCACGCCAACCTAATCTCGCCCCATGTCAACCCATCCCACGCCGACCTAATCTCGCCCCACGCCAACCTAATCTCGCCCCACGCCAACCCATCCTACGCCGACCCACCCTTCACCGTTCTGCCGACTGAATTTGGTTTTACACATCGCACTTCACCTGCCATCGCCACTCCTCCTGGCTTCCCATTGTGTTTTCGTTTCAAGTCCTCTTTTACCTCGGCTGATACTGCTACTACGGCTTCTACTGCTAAATCTACCACTGCCATGGCTACTTCTACCCGTGGTGCGGTTATTACGACGACTCCTACTGTTACTACAAGCACGACTACTGGAACTACGAGCACGACTACTGTAACTACGAGCACGACTACTGGTATTACTGCTGCTACTACTAGTGATGTTACTATTGTTATTGGTACCACCACTATATCTGCCACAACTGCTACTGCCTCTGCCACGACGGGCCTCTCCCCACCCAGGTCTCCCGTCTCTGTTCCTCCACCGGACTCCCTACATTCTCCTTCGTGTTGTCCTCATACTTCGCCTCAAGGTCACAGGGAGAGCGATCCCTTGTCCTCAAACTCTCGTCCGCTAGAGTCTTCGCCCTGTGCCCACACGCCCTCTTCGCCCTGTGCCCACACGCCCTCTTCGCCCTGTGCCCACACGCCCTCTTCTTCGCCCTGTGCCCACACGCCCTCTTCGCCCTGTGCCCACACGCCCTCTTCGCTCTGTGCCCACACGCCCTCTTCACCCTGCGCCAACCGCACTCGGCCCTCTTCACCCTGCGCCAACACGCCAACTGAATTAGGTTTCATAAATCGCACTTCACCTCCTCCCGCCACGGTTCTTCCTCCTCCTGGTTTCCCCCCCGTCTTGTCTTCTATAGTTACTTCTACTGTTACTTTTACATCTGCTACTACTGCTGTGTCTGCTACCACTAATACTCCTAGGCCTAATACTATTGCCACGACGGGCCTCTCCCCATCCAGGTCTTCCGTCTCTGTTCCTCCACCAGACTCCCGACCTCCTCATACTGCATCTCGAGGTCACAGGGAGAGCGATCCCGTGTCCTCCAACTCTCGTCTACCAACAGCCTCATGTTGGACGACGAACTCTGGTTTGCCACTTGCCTCATTTTGGTCGACACTCTCTGGCATGCCAAAGGCTTCATCTCGTTCAGAAAACTCAGCTCTTCAAAAGGCTTCACCATTGGCGACAAACTCTCCTCTTCAAAAGGCTTCACCATTGGCGACAAACTCTCCTCTTCCACAGGCTTCACCTTGGTCGACAAACTCTCATCCACCGCAGGCTTCACCTTGGTCGACAAACTCTCATCCACCGCAGGCTTCACCTTGGTCGACAAACTCTCATCCACCGCAGGCTTCACCTTGGTCGACAAACTCTCATCCACCGCAGGCTTCACCTTGGTCGACAAACTCTCATCCACCGCAGGCTTCACCTTGGTCGACAAACTCTCATCCACCGCAGGCTTCACCTTGGTCGACAAACTCTCATCCACCGCAGGCTTCACCTTGGTCGACAAACTCATCCACCGCAGGGGTCTTCACCTTGGTCGACAAACTTCATCCACCGCAGGCTTCACCTTGGTCGACAAACTCTCATCCACCGCAGGCTTCACCTTGGTCGACAAACTCGCAGGCTTCACCTTGTCGACAAACTGCAGGTCGACTTTCACCTTGGTCGAGCATCCACTGCAGGCTTCACCTTGGTCGACAAACTCGCATCCACTGCAGGCTTCACCTTGGTCGACAAACTCGCATCGACTGCAGGCTTCACCTTGGTCGACAAACTCGCATCGACTGCAGGCTTCACCTTGGTCGACAAACACGCATCGACTGCAGGCTTCACCTTGGTCGACAAACTCGCATCCACCGCAGGCTTCACCTTGGTCGACAAACTCGCATCCGCCGCAGGCTTCACCTTGGTCGACAAACTCGGTTCTGCCAGAGGCTTCTCTTTGGCAGACATATTTTCCCCCTCCACAGGCTCCATCTTGGCAGACATATACTGCCCTACTGCAAGCTTCACAATGGCCGATATATTCACTACCGCAAGCTTCATTTTGGCCGACATATTCTGCTCCACCGCAAGCTTCACCTAGGTCAACTAAATCTCGTCTGCCACATTGGTTGACGAAGGCTCCTTCTCCAACCATGTCAGCATGCAGACTGTCACCTCCTTCACAGTGGTCAAACCAGCATCAGTCAACGTCTCCCTGGCCGACAAAAAGTCGACCGTCGACCTCCTCGCCATCGTCACCAACCTCTTCAAAACCGACGAGATTAGTGCCTCTGACTGCAGGTCTCCTTAAGCAGGCTACCGTGCATGTACCTCCCCATACAAGCTCTATTAGTTCTACGCCAAGCCAACCTCGTACAACAAACTCTCCAAATACAATAATTCCACAACAACCAAGAGGGTTATATAGTCCACCTCAGAATCCCTGCCTACAGTTTCCTGTTGGTGGTCGTAATGACAGTGTAGAGACCCATCCACGGTGGCCCAGGATAAACGCTTCGTCTCTTAGGGTCTCTGGATACCTGCCGATTCCTCGTACCAGGTCCCAGGCCGCTGACCCCACTCAAGAGTCCCAAGTCACTGATCCGAATCCTGCACCAGAAGTACTGGCTCTTTACCCCCCGTGGAACATCGCCTGGGCCGTCAGCAGGCAGAGCGAGTCCTCCCAAGCACACAATTCATGGGAGATGAACACACTGATAAGTCACTCCACATTCTGCTCAGATTTTGAAACTTTATCGAGCGAGGAGAATAATTCGGCTTGTGATTCTGATTTTGAAGTGGCTTCCGTAATTCCAGGAGGCAACGTATATATTAAGTTTAACTCTACAGAACATTCAGATTCCATACTCTCTTTCAACTGCCCTGAAACTCTCACAGTTTCAGATTATTTTCAGGAAGTGGGAGTGCAGGAAACAAAAGAGTACGTCAGCCGATGCGTCGCCAAGATGGAATTCTTCAAGCACCTGCTGCCTCCGGGCTCTTAGGTGGAATGTATCTCGTTTGAGCTGACGACTGAAATCAAACTTGCAAGTAACGGGGAGCTCTACGGTGTAAAGGTTACTACCTCGTGACGAAAAGGTTCCAGAAGATTAGGAACGGAAGACTGATGGTGAATCTACCAATCTGAGGTGAGTAAGTCCTGTGTAATACATCTCATGACAAATTAACACTAATTGTATCAAGAGACGACTGACGAACACTCTAATATAACTTGCCGGTGGGTGAAGTACAGTGCCGATCACACACTGCCTACTTGTGTACCGAAGGCTTGGTAGGCAATACGGTATCCTCACTGTCCCTAACGACAATCGGGCACTTGGGGCCCAATTTAATTTTGTCAACTAAGTGATCATTATTGCTCTAATGCCTTACGATCTCGCATAGTAAGATCATAGAATTTTTTTCCTTACAGGGATTGCTCAAGGCGCTTCGGAGGGGACTTCTTGGACTGTTGACATGATGCGTGACCAGTCGTGTCTCGCCGCGCCAGCCATCAACTATACCACATTGATAGGCCTTTACATTAACCCGCATCTTGTCTCGATGTAAATATCTTGACCCTGGAGAAGGTGCATGAGCTACTGCCGGAATTCCTTGCGTGAAGATCCCGGCCCTGGTGACTGTCTGGGAGTTCCTTGCGTGAAGATCCCAGCCCTGGTGACTGCCTGGGAATTCCTTGCGTGAAGATCCCGGCCCTGGTGACTGTCTGGGAGTTCCCCCTCGCGTGAAGATCCCTGGTGACTGTCTGGGAGTTCCTCGCGTGAAGATCCCAGCCCTGGTGACTGTCTGGGAGTTCCTCGCGTGAAGATCCCAGCCCTGGTGACTGTCTGGGAGTTCCTCGCGTGAAGATCCCGGCCCTGGTGACTGTCCGCGAGTTCCTCGCGTGTAGATCCCAGCCCTGGTGACTGTCTGGGAGTTCCTCGCGTGTAGATCCCGGCTTTGGTGAATTTTATTGTACTGAGATTTTAATGTATCAATTTTTAACAATGACAAAGGTTGCATCGCTACCTGAAATGACCTCTTCAAACCTCCATCTGACGATCTTGATTTTTAAACTGTAAGAAATACAAACAAACAAACAAGGTACAGCGTTGTTTACATATTCCTGGTATTAGATGCTCTCATTTTGTATCCGCCTATTGGTTAGTTAACATTTGGAAATATGGATGAATGAGAACAAAAATGGATTTGGATGGAAATATACCCAGGCCTATAGATGATGGCTGTGAGTGCGCCTTGTATAAGCTCTTTCAAGACCAGACTTAACGAGTACTGGAGCAGGTTCAGATGCATTCGGCAGCCAGTGCATGCCTACTATTTGCCAACAGTGCGTTACAGAGACGCGACCGATCGGCTAACGAGCTGATCAATGGTGAAGAGTATGAAGGTTAATAAAAAAGAAATGCTCTCGCCGTTAGTGTGTATTTACATGCGGTTTGTTGCTACCAAGCCCCTCCAACGGAGAGAGAACTGGGACTCATATAACCTCTTAGCCTGGCCAAAACAAGACCAGGCCACAGTATTGACAATAAGACTCAATAAAAATTATATATATAATAAAACAAAAACAAATGCGTTAATCCTCCCTCGGGTTTCATCCGTTTTCTTCCATTTACCGCTGCTTCAAGTTTCCCATACTTCATGACGGTTGGCATGACGAGTCGACCACCAATCCCCATTTGTTTATAGGCATTTAGCAGGTGCTTACTATCGAGGTGTGTTCCGCTTTTTCCAGATTTTAGGCTTCATGGAGAGGCGTTTTTCGTTTGTCACTTCGTCTGATAGGTGAGTGTTGTTGTCTAGGAATAACAAGATTTCTGGTATTTCTTTGTTTTTTAAATAAGACTCGGTGCTGGAAGCCCTTGCTATTTTGTTAGCCCCTATGTGCTACCGTTCCTGTTTGTGTGTATTCTCTTTTGGGTAAAGGTGAGGCAGACGGCACCAGGATATTATGGAAGTGCACCAAATTTTCAGATGCTTTGATGATACAAACGACACTGCACAGAACCTGTTAGGGCTTAACTTAACCTAACCTCCTAGCCTGTGCATTGTCGCAATAAACACACTCGGTGAGATCGTCGTTGGTTTATTGAACTAAACTAAGACCGCAGACACTCCCGAATAGTAGACAAAGGGAACCAAAACATGGTCCCCATATTTACGGTACATAATTTATTTCGTCTGCAAAGTACGTAGACATGAAAGCACTGCCATATGATCAGTGTTTTAACCGTAATTTTCCCCGCCTTTCATGCCCTGTACTGCGCACATAATTGTCATCCTTAATATCTCTCAAACATATTACGCTACATAACATCGAGAAACTTTGGTAAGGGATGACTCGCCTACTGTATGTTGGTTTAATCGAATTGTACCAATGTAAAGGCATATAATATTAAGAGCTGATAGCATTAAGAAGAACTCAAGGTATCTATAGGATGATTGGGAAGGTCCAATTGATACAGACTAGTGTACTATAAGGGATAAGTGTAACCGTGTCTGAAGGTCATAATATTTACGTCTGTGAACGATTAGTAAACATAGCTACCGCAGTTATAGGATGAAAATATATGAGAACAATGATCTGGAGAAATGATAAATGAAGGAGACCTATGTGAAGTGTTGGAAGTGATCCAGAAACTATACTTCAAAGAGAATATCTTGTATACCTCGGTGTGAGCTTAGTACATCTCGTTACCCCATGTGACGATGAACCACGAACAATACAATGATCAGAGAATCTTATGTGTTCAACGTGTGAGGGGAGGATCCCTAAATACAGAGTGAAGTGGATAGACACACGCCGAGAAAACACTAGCCAAGGCCTTTGTTCGGGTTGGCGCCTATTCCGCCCCGGGCTACGGTTCTGGGTTATTATTATAAGACAATGAATTTCCCCAGGAACTAACAAACCAGACCCTTACTTTCGTATGTAATTTAGGATTAAGATATATAATTATAAGGCAGAAGGTCACAATAGATAGAAAAGTGTATATGTGGGAACCAGAATAATGTCAAAGTGAAAATTAAAGATTGTAAACTGTAGGACTAGTTCAGTGTGAGACGCCAGGCATCGCCCTCAGTGCCGCCCGACTTCTCACCAAAACAGGTGGGCGCCCAGAGCGTAGGCCGAGCAACCACCACTGTGAGGAACCCACCGGGTGTGGTGTGTACTGCTTACGGTCATTATGCCACCTTCACTGTGAGTCTGTGGATACCCTACATATCACCACTCAGGATAGGAGAACATAATTGTGTGTTGGAGAAGTTTCGCGGTCACCACGTGGAGCGACTTAAGAATACCAGGCGTGGAACCAGTACTGGTATGATTACCTGGGAAGTATACCATCTACTTAGCAAGAGTAGAGTGTGAAAGAGGTACCTGGTATGTGTACCTGAAGAACACCGAGGAGTTCCATACTTGTAGGTGTGGAGTGTACCTGAGATGTAGCTACCTAAACAAGCTACATACTGTCCAGGGGGTCTGGTGGCAGCGACCTTAAAATTAAGAGTAGATTTAAGTTATCCCCTTAGGATTAGTGACCCCAGAATGGGCAGTATAGCCCTGCCCACTGACAATTAATTTATGATCGAAAGATAGGCTAAAAGAAACTACAATGTTGTTTCGATATTTTTACTCGGCATCATCCAAAGAACAACTAGAAAATTTGAACGAAATATATAAACGCGTTCGAGTGCCAACCCTCTGTTCCAACTTTTACCCTCTTTGGTCTTCGGCCTATTTGAGCCGGGCTAGGAACGACAGATTTAGGGTGGTTAACTGGTAGCATTAATTTTTACCACCATGTTTTGACGACTATAGGATGGACTGTTCCGTTCTCGGAGTCGGTTTCACAGTTTCCGTGTGCCACTCATAAATCGACGGATATTTGACACTTACGACCAGAGTTCGCCGGGAGGGTGTTTTTATCGATGCCACCATATCTGGGGGTGCGATTTCGTGTCTTGTTTATAAGTTGGTTATGCAGTTAATGCAGTATTCTATTTTAGTGGCTTGGGGCGTTCACTTGTGTACCTGCATTTTGAGGTCCTCAATGCCCGCTCCTGGGAGGAGAAATTGGAACCCCTATGATATCTATACCTGCTGAAGCAAGAACAGGACACAGTAAGCGTCCTTGATTAAAGACAAAAGAGAAAAAGAACTAAAAACTATTACAGGAACTCCATCAGTCATCCCTCACTCCGTTTTCTGTCGTTGTCTCCAACACTCGACGATTGAACTGTCACTCACACCTGTTCAAGTGATCACTCCTCATTTGTTGCCTAGCTCTTGCGGGGTGAGGGGGGTGTTTTCCTGTGTTGTCCACAGATGTGTGCTTCGTGAAGTTTTCTTCGCTTTACTTCGCTTCTTCTAAACTGTTGCTGGTGAGTGTATTTGCCTGGGAATAACAGGATTTTTGGTGATTCCTTGTTTTTAGATAGGGCTTCTTATTAAGGGTGGAATCACTTGCATCCTCCACCTTCAGTGACAGGGCCCTTGCTGGTTATCCCTCTGTGCTTCCTTTCCTATAAGTGTCTTTCATTGTGTTCGATTCTCTTTCCCAGTTCGGCCTTATAGGTCATGGGGTTGGGGAACCAACGGGTTAGGTCTGTGTACCGGTTGCTCGTTTTCAGCAACGTTGTTTCGTTGCTGGTGTAGAGCTTCGGCTGCTTGTTTCTTGGAGCCACGGTGGCTAGCTGACGATACCTGCTGGAGGTCCCATTTCCTGTTGTGTTTTGGGGCCCCCGAGTGGTCGTCGGGCATTCTACCACATCCCCCGCACTTGCCTGTCACTTTAGTCGTGGCATGGAAACTGGAATGAGCCATACAGGCTACCACGGATGCTCTCAACCAGATGACGATCCTCATGGGAGTTCCTACCACGCTGGTGACATGGGAGCTACCGAGTGTTCGTCAGATGTTGTCGCCCGTTTCTCGGTTCATTTGGGCAATAAAAGGTTGGACCAATTAGATAGGGAGGATTACAGAGCTGGGGGGTGCACTGCCAGCAATGTACAGCAGTGCTCTCCAGGGTGAGCTGCCAGATGACGATCCCCGGGGCACCCTTCCACCTCCATAGACCGAGGCTAAAGTACCACCTGGTGATGGTGGCCACCCTTAGTACCTCCTGGTGCTGGTGGCCACCCTTAGTACCACCTGGTGATGGTGGCCACCCTTAGTCCCTCCTGGTGATGGTGGCCACCCTTAGTACCTCCTGGTGATGGTGGCCACCCTTAGTACCTCCTGGTGATGGTGGCCACCCTTAGTACCTCCTGGTGATGGTGGCCACCCTTAGTACCTCCTGGTGATGGTGGCCACCCTTATGGTGGCCACCTTAGTACCTGATGGTGGCCACCTTAGTACCTCCTGGTGATGGTGGCCACCCCTTAGTACCTCCTGGTGATGGTGGCCACCCTTAGTACCTCCTGGTGATGGTGGCCACCCTTAGTACCTCCTGGTGATGGTGGCCACCCTTAGTTCCTGGTGATGGTGGCCCCATCCTCCTGGTGATGGTGGCCACCCTTGAGTACCTCCCTGGTGATGGTGGCCACCCTTAGTACCTCCTGGTGATGGTGGCCACCCTTAACCCCTGGTGATGGTGGCCACCCTTAGGCCTCCTGGTGATGGTGGCCACTCTTGATGGTACCTTGAGTACCTCCTGGTGATGGTGGCCACCCTTAGTACCTCCTGGTGATGGTGGCCACCCTTAGTACCTCCTGGTGATGGTGGCCACCCTTAGTACCTCCTGGTGATGGTGGCCACCTGGTACCTCCTGGTGATGGTGGCCACCCTTAGTACCTCCTGGTGATGGTGGCCACCCTTAGTACCTCCTGGTGATGGTGGCCACCCTTAGTACCTCCTGGTGATGGTGGCCACCCCTCCTGGTGATGTACCTCCTGGTGATGGTGGCCACCCTTAGTACCTCCTGGTGATGGTGGCCACCCTTAGTACCTCCTGGTGATGGTGGCCACCCTTAGTACCTCCTGGTGATGGTGGCCACCCTTAGTACCTCCTGGTGATGGTGGCCACCCTTAGTACCTCCTGGTGATGGTGGCCACCCTTAGTACCTCCTGGTGATGGTGGCCACCCTTAGTACCTCCTGGTGATGGTGGCCACCATTAGTACCTCCTGGTGATGGTGGCCACCCTTAGTACCACCTGGTGATGGTGGCCACCCTTAGTACCTCCTGGTGATGGTGGCCACCATTAGTACCTCCTGGTGATGGTGGCCACTCTTAGTACCTCCTGGTGATGGTGGCCACCTTAGTACCTCCTGGTGATGGTGGCCACCCTTAGTACCTCCTGGGTGATGGTGGCCACCCTTAGTACCTCCTGGTGATGGTGGCCACCCTTAGTACCTCCTGGTGATGGTGGCCACCCTTAGTACCTCCTGGTGATGGTGGCCACCCTTAGTACCTCCTGGTGATGGTGGCCACCCTTAGTATCTCCTGGTGATGGTGGCCACCCTTAGTACCACCTGGTGCTGGTGGCCACTCATTGTACCACATGGTGATGGTGGCCACTCTTAGTACCTCCTGGTGATGGTGGCCACGCTTAGTACCTCCTGGTGATGGTGGCCACCCTTAGTACCACTTGGTGATGGTGGCCTCTCATTGTACCACCTGGTGATGGTGGCCACTCATTGTACCACATGGTGATGGTGGCCACTCATTGTACCACCTGGTGATGGTGGCCTCTCATTGTACCACCTGGTGATGGTGGCCTCTCATTGTACCACCTGGTGATGGTGGCCACTCATTGTACCACATGGTGATGGTGGCCTCTCATTGTACCACATGGTGATGGTGGCCTCTCATTGTACCACATGGTGATGGTGGCCACTCATTGTGCCACATGGTGATGGTGGCCTCTCATTGTACCACCTGGTGATGCTGGCCTCTCATTGTACCACCTGGTGATGGTGGCCTCTCATTGTACCACCTGGTTATGGTGGCCACTCATTGTACCACATGGTGATGGTGGCCTCTCATTGTACCACATGGTGATGGTGGCCACTCATTGTACCACCTGGTGATGGTGGCCACTCATTGTACCACCTGGTGATGGTAAAAAATATTCTTTCTAACTAATGATATAAAGTCGTGTAATTAATAAAATACCTTCGTTAATTACCGGGGAAAAGTACAAGCTTGTGGATGATGTTTGTGTTAAATTTTACCGATATGTTAACTGAAGTAAAGCTTACAGTATACTCTTCATGGCACACCCGGTATGTCATCACCGAGGAATGAGTTTAGTGAGAATCTGAGTTTAATGAGACAGTTAGCTCGTTGGTTTATGTTTTGTAAATTTGATTATTCTGCAGTTGGTTGTGGTGGCCGAGTGGGTACAGTACAAAGGGTCTCTTGTACATCTATTTTCAAGTGTTGTGTACATATTTATGAAACCTTTTGTGATTTAAAAAAAAACATATTTGGAGACGTTTTGGAGAATAAAACACAAAGGTATCATTAGAAACTATTATGGCCTGTATTTAAAGCATTAATACACAATGTGTTTACTATGCTTTCTTCATGTTTGGTTTCGTTAAATGATGAGAATTTTACTCTGATCAGGTACATGTGCGAGCCCAGCTGGTATGTCATCACCCTCCGCCTCATGTGTCAGGTGGCTGGTTCATGAAGCCGGTTCATAATACCTATCCATAAATCTGGTTCACTCATCATAAATCAGGTTCATGAAGCTTCCTCGTTGGATCATGAAACGGATTCATTATTAACAGACCAAATTCTTCAAGCTGTAGGAGTTGTGATATCAATTCATTAATAACTTTTTTGTTAACACTGATTTTGACGACATATACAGTATATAATTTCTTAGTTTATCCGTTCTCTTCCTTCTAGTTGGTTATGGAGAAAGGTTTAAGGATATTAATTTACATTTTTAAATAGTTTGGGGAAGTAAATTGAGCTCCAGAATTTGGTCGTGTAGATGTGTGTGTGGATTTTGTATAATAAACAACTCTGACCACTGGGTACATGTGAAGTAAAGTCTATTATTGTCTTCCCACTGATATTTTTTTTATGATTTACGAAAGAGAATTACCCAGGTTATGTCTCAGAGTTGTTATTGTACATCTAAACTACTTCATTAGGGCAGGATTTTTTTCAGGAGATTTATAAAAAGTTAGTTGGATTAAAGAGAGTAAACGGCTTACTATTTCGTCTCTATTTTCACTTATTAAACATTCTTTGCTATTATTAACATGAATTTTATTATTTTATTATGACATCAGTGAAGTAATGACCATTTAGTAAGTGATAATTACATTTGAATGTTATATTAATCAAGTGAAAACGTATCTAAATATTTTGAAGGTAAGATCACTTTGTTGTTTACTTTTTCTAACTCATGATAACGTCTCTTTCCTCTACTCTCCTCTGCTTAAACATCGAAAAATATAGCTTATAAAAAGTTAGTTAAAATATACGAACTTATTACAATGATATTTTTTACCTGCCCTAAATAAATCTTGACAATGGATATATTCGGGAAAATAAATTATCATATCGGTCGTTTTATTGGCTGGTAAACCATGACGTCATTCCGATAAAGAGCCCTCTGATTGGTTGAAACAATATAAACTCGACCTATCCATAATTATTTCCCTAAAACATCCAAAGTTCAATAATTTGTTAACAAGAAAGCACACAGAAGCTTTGGCATAACCTTATCTGCTTGTACCTGAATCAGATATAAAGTAATGTAAAATTTAAATCAATCATTATGTTACTTTGAAGCTTGTCAACAGAAAAAAAAAAAATGGTGAATGTTAGTATCATGACATTTGTGTTAATTTCAGACTAACATACTTCACTATATCATTTTATTTGCTAGATTGGCTGAGAAGTAACATCTACCAGCCCTTTACCCCTGAAGCCCTTGTTCCCGAGCGTTGTGAGAGAACTGTATACCACCACGGGGCAACATCTTGACACATTCGCTCCCTTCACCCTACTACCATACAGTTAATACCAGTCATACACTCTTTCTCTCTCACCAGTCATAAAGATTTTTGCCCAGTCATTTTCCCTTTCATCAGACGTTATCCTCGACAGTTAGACACACCCCAGTCATCATACAGTCTAGTGATTTATCATTTACAAGATCCCTGCACCTTCACTCAGTCACCAGTTATCATACCGTCTTGATATCATCTTACAGTCATCGTTATACCATTCACGTGTTATCATCCAGTCAAAAATCACCCTCAACCTCCTCATACATTCCATTCATTACCAGTTACTAAGACGTCATGCCATTTTTTGTTACTTATACACGTTTGACTGGAGTTAAGTCTTGGTTGAGGATGTCAGTAAACGTTCTACAGCGTGCTCGTGCAGGTGTTGTTTCCCGTTGGGTGTCGAGCGGCGGTCCTAGCGGCCCCTCACATCTGTCTGGTCAGTTTAACACACGGTGACTAGGATTTATAACTGTGGGAACACTGCCTGACTGTGCACTGCTATTTTAAGGTTTTGAATATAAACAAAAATAAAATAAACGATTGTAAGTTGATGGGATATTAGTTAGAATTAATGGTTGGGGGTTCCTAAAAATCAGGGAGACTGTTTGTTTTAATTTGTAGCAGTGAGCCGACATCGTAGGCGCGAGGGGATGATAAGAACACCGCTTTGGTCTCTCACTTGTATTAGTAGGCAGTTGTTGCGAGCTGAGGCAAGCCTGCTCGGTAGCTAGATTATCTCACAGGTTAAGTGACCTCGACCACACAAAATAGCGTCCTTTCAAGCACTAGTTATATGAACACACGTAACCTGTGAAGTTAGTCTACCACTCCAGTGCCAGATGCGTTTGATTTGTTAATATATTAGCATGATACACTGTGCCCTCAGGCAGTTAGTGTTCGTATCACCAGAGAAGAGTTAGGTTCAGGTCGTGCGGCCTGATGGTGTCCCATGTACACGTCAACCTCTGCTGCCGGTGGCCCTCTGTTAAGCGTCCCCGTGTTATACATGTCCAGGGAATATTTGTTCCGCTAGCTGTGTTGTGCGCGTTCTCAGCAGCGGCAAAGCATATACTGGGACCTGGCAGTTCAGTGCCCATGCATTTAGGCATTTGAATCTTAGAGCTCGGCACGAGGACATTTAATGCTTGCGAGCCCAACCTGACACCTCAGTCTCGGCGACAGAGTACACCTCTTCACGACCCGAGTGTGTGGAGCGATCAGAGCGGTGGTCCACTCGCCGCTCTTGATGTGTACGTCGTTCAGCGTGCACCACATAACCATCGTCCACCACCTCTACGTCTTGCACGTACTGTTGGCCGAACCGCTGGTTGTCGTAGTCGCGATGATACTGGCGGTACTGATGTTGGTACCTGGCCACTGGGCCTGGGGAGTTGTCGGGGGAGTGGTCAGGGGAGGTCATCACGTCACTCAGGTGTGGCGGCTCCTCGAAGTACTCCGTTGTGGATCGCTCCAGCTGCCGCCTCTTGCTGTCTAAGGACGACCCTGACACGTGGGAGTACCTGTCAACTGGCTCCTGTGGGGCCGCGAGAGGCACACTGTTAGTACACTCGACATTGTTATTAAATATATCCTCTTATTCAGTAACTTTACTCTCATCATCCTCACATATTATCCAAAATCCTCGATGCAAGTATTTAACCCTTCTCGTCTTAACCTTTTACTTAACCTAACTCCTTTGTTACGATGTCTCACTTGTGTTTTGTAAGAATATTGTCTAAAGTAAAATCAAAGGAAGAATTTATTACTGGTGTAGCTATGTATAGGCTTAGAATTCAATGACCAACAGTGAACTTATGACGGGGTAAAACTCACATGGTGCCGCCAGTCCTCTGTGAACTCTGAAGCAGATCGAGCCAAGGACCTGCCAGTCCTTGCTGACATCCTGTCGTCGAAATCAGTGTCTGGGTACTCATCGTCGGGCAGTACAGGCACGTTGTAGGTGATCTCTGGCTGTGAGCGGTCTGCTATTGAACGAGCACCACTAGCCATGCTGGGTCCACTCGCCACGCTGGGTCCGCTGGCCATGCTGGGTCCGCTCGCCTCACTCCAGGTGTCGGCGCGGGTGAAGTTGACCTCAGTTTCCGTCATGGAGCGAACATCTATCCCGGAGTGTATGCTCGACCTGGGGGAGGTGGGAGGTGGGGGGTGAAACATCAATATATTTTATTTCACTCTTACTCCTCTTACCGTTTGTGAAAGATAGATAAAAGGAAAAACAAATTCCATTAAGACTTTGGGGGAATGATAAGAGGAGAGAGATGAAAGAACAAACACACACACACACACACACACATTTCCTCATAATTAGTCACTATTCAGGTTTAAGAGCGAATATATACAGTTTATACCTTGAAAACTTACAAGATTTTATAGAATAAAAAATTATAACCCCCCAAAATTATACAAAATTATACACACTATAATCAACGTAATAATTTCCTCTTATATATTTAATAAAAACATAACATTATATTTACAACCCCATCAGCTGTTGTGGTCTGTTGTAGCAAAATAAAACAACAATTAACTATAGATTATTAAGTGATGGTAAATACTAAGGTTTAATTTATGTTAGAATCAAAACATTTCAGAGTTGGTTTAATTTTAACTGGCTGATGCGGTACTACACTCCCTCCTATCTCCAACACTACCCCCAACATTACCTCCAACACTACCCCCAACATTACCTCCAACACTACCCCCAACATTACCTCCAACACTACCCCCAACATTACCTCCAACACTACCCCCAACATTACCTCCAACACTACCCCCAACATTACCTCCAACACTACCCCCAACATTACCTCCAACACTACCCCCAACATTACCTCCAACACTACCCCCAACATTACCTCCAACACTCCTACCTTGTATACTTGCCGCCAGCCTGGAGATACAATATTGCTTGTAGATCTCCCATAGGAATTTATTATCTCCAGTGAAAGACAAACATGATCACGAAAGCCAAATTTGTAAGAGGAATTCGAGCTTTTATCCGAACAGTGATTTTATATCGATTATTTCTTGTAAACAACATTCACTTAACTATGGTGAAGTGCAATGTTTATATTAACATTAATATAACACTTAGACATAACACTCAGACATCGTATTCACACTCAGACATCGTATTAACACTTAGACATCATATTAACACTTAGACATCATATTAACACTCAGACATCGTATTAACACTCAGACATTACACTCAGTCGGGTGAGTGACTGTCGGTCTGTCGGTCTTACTTGGATGAACGTCGTGAGCGAGCCGAGGGGGGTCCAGGACGACGCATGATGAGTGGGTTACCCTCAGAGTCGTACTCGTATAGTGGTGGTAGGGATGGTCGTCGTCCAGCCGGGGCGTCGTTCTTGCGGTACCTGGGGGGGGGGTGGGGGGGAAGACGTCAAAGATGGCGAGGAAAATAAAGGGAACATTGTCTAATTATGTCGTAATTACACTATGAGACAAGACTGATGAACGTGTGAGGCACTAACAGTAATGATAATGTGTAGTATTAAGATTCAGCCATAATAATAACGTACCTTCGGCCGTCCTTGGAGTGAAGGCTCTCAGTGTCGGAGACTGAAGGAGCCTCAGAGGACGAGTCTATGCGGTCATGGATGTCTGGTGGGGACAGGATTCTGATGATAACGTCCCACTTGCGAGGCTCAAACAGTGTCTCGTACCTGCAACATAGGAGTCAGTTATCACATGGTTCATCTAGGAGGATATTCTGATTTAAAAGGAGTAGTTTTATTCATCGTCATCTGTGTCATTCTGTTAGTAATTTGTTGTTACCGTTATTTGTATACAGTATAATGCCGTAAGGCCAAGGTCTCACCTCTGGTCGTGACGGATACGCTCGTAGTCCTCCTTCACAGTGGCGTATGTGAGCATGGTGCGGAGGGTAGATTCTGTGGAGATGATTTGACGCCACTTTTCACGGTCCTCTTTCGTCAGTATATATTGTACGGCTTCCTGTGTCGGGGGCGGATCCAGGACACGAAGAAGCACATTCCAGTTGGGTGGAAGAGGATGTTCTAGGGCTTCTACCTCCAGGCGAGTGAGGTCATCTTCGTCAGCGTGGAACATGTGCTGGCGGAACACGTCTGAGCCAGGCTCGCTGTAACCTTCCCATTCAGGCCCTGAAGATTCGACTTCGTCGGCATACTTGGGTCCTGGGTAGTGACGAATGGCCACGTTCCACTTGGGTGGAGGCAGTGCCTTGGGCTTTATGTGGTACTGTTGGATGATACACAATGCGAATTTTTTTTTATTTTATTAATGGTAGCGACTAACGAGCACACTGTATAAGTGTATGCCTTACCGTGTTACCAAACATGAAAATGAAAAGTGGTGGATCAACTTACCTGTTTGATGAAGCGTCGATGGCGCTCAATGTCCTCGGTGGTGTGAGTTTCGGTGATGGTGGAGACGTGACGATCATCCACCACATGACTGGTAACCTCCGGCATCCTGGGCACCACAGGCAGCTCCTCCACAATGTCTGTTACACTGCGGGCCTCGGACGGGTACTCGGAGTCTGGCTCAGAGGGCGGCGGGCGGATCATGTACCGCCGTCCGTGGCGCTCCACAGTTTCTTGAACGTCGGTCGTTTCAGTCGTTAGCTTTTCGATGTTTTCAATGTGTCGGAGATCTCGTCGGATGTTCTCACGTATGTTCACTTCCAGGTCGTGTTCAGATACTGACCTGGCTACCGAACTGTATTCGGAGGGTGGAGGCGGAGGTCGTGGGCGTAGTTGGTATTCCAGCGTCTTACGATGTAAAAGAGCGTACTCCGGCGGGGGTATGATGGCTGGAGGAGGGATGAGGTCCCCAGCCTCTGACCCAGACACCAGGAGTGCGTGCTCTGATCCTGGTAGACTCTCCGCTCGGAAGCTCTCATCCCTCTCCAAGATGGTGGTGAGGGACTGAGACTGAGCCAGCTGTACCGGGTAATCAGGCTCTGGAGTCTTAGGAGGTGTTGGGGCCCGCTTGACCCTCACCAAAAAGGTGGGCTGTGGTGGACGGATCATCTGGGACGCTGTCACCAACTCTGCATCACTCTGCATCATGGCGTCCGAGTACACAGAAGATAGTCGGTCTTCATCCATAATGAATGCCTGGTTCTGGAAGGCCTGAATCCTCTCTTCGTGCATATGCATAGAGGCTGCAGAAGACCTATGTTCAACAGATCGCATGTCCAGTTCTTCTCCTTCTGATCCACTGGATGGGGGATCAGAGGGGTAGTCAGAGGGAATGGTGTCAGACTGTGAGACGAGCGCAGTGTCAGAGTCAGTGGTGGAGGTAGCGTGAGCTCGGGGAATCTTGACACCGTCAAAGTTAAGTGACGACCCTGACATCTTGGTGATGTCCGAGGGCGCCCCCAGTGACATGGGACGCCGCCGCACCAATTTGATGTTGCGCTTCTTGAGGCAGGTGTAAGAGCACGCCATCCCCACCAACAGCAACGCCAGGAAAAATATAGCACAGATGATGAGCAGAATCTCCACCTCGCTTAATGGCGCTGGGACTGCCGGGGTAATTTCACGACCACTGAAAAGGTAACAAAATGTCAAGATACACAGAAAAAGGACGCACAGTTCATCACAACCTAGGGACTAGTTTAGGGTGATATCTGAACTCTTCATGAAACCTTCATAGAAGAAAATAACAACGAATTTTTACACACATTCTCACTATTTCTCAACTATTCATAACTACTTGAGATCATTATGAGTATTGAGACACGTGATCCAATTAGGGCGTGGTGCTCACTTACTGAAAATATACAAAGGCAAATCGAAAGGGGCTGAGTGAATGTGTGTTAAGAAATATGAAGAAATCTTGCATGTCTGAGAGAGTAAAAGCAAAAACAAATTTAAACACAAATATTGTGGATAAAAAGTTGTGCTGTAGTGAATATATAACGTACCACACGTTTTAAAAAGTAGAAGAAATGGGAAACTCTTTTAAACAATGTCCAGATGTTTAGGAGAGTGAAGCATGTTTTCAAGTATCACTAAGAGGGACCCTATTACCTAGTGATATTAGGAGTACGTCAAGGATGTGTCATGTCACCATAGTTAATTTTTTGATGTGTCGGTTAGTAAGAGAAGAAACTTGGTACTGCAAATTTGAGATGTAAACAGGAGGTGATTGAGGTGCTGTTTCCAGATGTCACTTAAGATATAACTGAAAGAGTTTAGAACATGCGATGGGAGAAATTTGGTAGCGGGTGTAAACGTGAGTAAATTGATGAAAAAAGGTAATAACAATGATAAATAAATGTTTGAGATAGAATGGAGGAAGTGAGGCGTTTATTTTTCTACTCTCGCCACAATACAGATTTTCTCTTACAGGTATTTGGAACGTGGCATCTGGCAAGGACTGAAAAAATCTCAAGAATCATCAACAAGGCAGAAGTAACGTGAAGACTGTCATTAGAAGCCAAAGGAGCAGTAGAGTTAAGGAGCATCAGGACACGTATTAGAAGTAACAGAAGAGTTAAGGAGCATTGGAACACGTATAGCAGAAGGTACGTACATGATTGGGACAGGGACGGGCGGGCCAGGCGGAATGATGACCTTAGGACTTGGGTAGCGGCAGATGATGGTCTTGACTTCATCGCCCTCCAACTCCAGACCGGGGTGGAACCTGACGATGATGTTGTTAACGAACACTCGTCTCTCCACCTACCGGAGGCACGTTGTATTAGACATTGGTGAAGAGGGTGGATGTTAATGAACCCTTGGATTAAGAGCTATACTTAACCTAACCTAACCTCAGCCAACCCAACCTAATCTAACCTCTATATCAATTACCGTTGGCCATCTGTCACCTCTACATAAATATAATTTCAGTATTTTAAAAGATTAGCTGAAGGAATTTACGTATATTACAAGCAATAAATTTAGATTAACACACACACATCTTCAAAGAGTTAATATCTTACCGTAATAATACCATAGAAAATAGTTAACATTACTTCATACTACTTTTAACATGAACTGCATAGAAACAAACATTAACACGAAGCAATTTGAGGATTAACATCACAATTAACATAGATAAGCATCTTACCCTATTGGTACCGCATCCCTTGAGTGGCAGTTCGAGATGGTACTTGGTCTTGCCTTGACCCTGGATGCGACAGGCAGAATTCCTCGACCCATTTGGATATATGATGCCGTAGAAAGGATCTTTAAACTGAACGTCTACCAACATGTAACCCGAGGCACAGTTAAGGGTGGTGTTGGTGCGCTCCGTGTAGATCTTGGGTCCTATCTGGTCCAGGTCCCGTGATGCTCCCCCTATACTGTACAGGGGAAGATGATGATGATAATGATAAGGATAATAATAGTAATATAATGATAAGGATAATAATAGTAATATAATGATAAGGATAATAATAGTAATATAATGATAATACTGTAACAATAATAATAATAATAATACTAATAATAATGTAATGATAAAAGTAATAATAATAATATAAAAATAATAGTAATGTAAATAATAGTAAAAATAATAATCAGTTCGTTAGATGGAGGTTTTATATCTAACGGACCCTCGATATAACGGATTTTCCTCACCATATAGTTAAAATAGAGGTTTTACTGTATATTTTGAACTTAATGAACGATTCGGTTAATTATTTATTATACTCGAAGGTTTTATACCAGGAATAATTAGACTTGCTCCCATTAAAGTCCTCGACAAGTCTATTACGAAACACTGCATATCCAGTTTGTGTTGCAATTCCAAGTGACCTGATTATGTTGAGATTACCTTACCAGTGTTACCAGTGAACCAGTAACACTTGTATTTCTTCATTACATTGTTCAGTCACTCAAAATCTATCTATACAAAGTTGTGTTTATAAAATATGACACAATGGACGAAGGATTTTGACAACCCTACCGAGACAACAGGAGTCGTAGTGTTCATTGTGGAATTCATCGATCACCCCGAGTACAGATAGTTTTTTGAGTCACTGTATATATGTTATTGCCTTTTATTTTTAATGATGATGGGGGGCCTGATTTAATACTGGATTCTTCTGATAGGTCAATTTGAAGTCACGAAGGTGTGGAAATTTTAACCTAACCTAACCAAAGCTAACCTAAACTAACCTAACCGAATCTAATCTAACCTAACCTAGTTTAACGTTATCTAACCTAACCTAATCTAACCTGATTTAGCTTAACCTAATCTTAATCGAACCCCTAACCTAACCTAACCAAATCCACCCAAGTGTTTGGGGGGGGAGGGGGGGATAGAGCTAATTTTCATCTCACGTCTGTTACAGCAGGAAGTGTGTGTGTGTGTGTGTGTGTGTGTGATGACAGTGATTGAGTGTTTCGTCTGGGTGTTCATTCCCCTGTTGTGTTTCTAACGGGAAAAAGTAACGCTGATGAGAGAGATAGAGAGATGAGAGAGAAAGTGAGGCACCTAGAGAGAGAGAGAGAGAGAGAGAGAGAGAGAGAGAGAGAGAGAGAGAGAGAGAGAGAGACTTAGATGTAGGAAGTCTGGATTTATTTTTTTTTGGTCTCATTTACAATATAGAAATTTATTTTATTATAGATTTATTTATTATAGTATGGTGGGGGGTGGGGGGGTTAGGTTAGGGTTAGGTTTTCCCGAGTCCTTATTACCAGGCACATCATTAGTCTCCAGTTGACACCATTGTAATAATACCATCCTACCTGTTGTTCCGTATTACCCGTTGTTCCGTTACCCGTTGTTCCATATTACCCGTTGTTCCGTATTACCCGTTGTTCCGTATACCTGTTGTTCCGTATTACCCGTTGTTCCGTATACCGTTGTTCCGTATTACCCGTTGTTCCGTATTACCGCGTTGTTCCGTATTTTCCGTTGTTCCGTATTACCCGTTGTTCCGTACTACCGTTGTTCCGTATTACCCGTTGTTCCGTATTACCCGTTGTTCCGTATTACCCGTTGTTCCGTATTACCCGTTGTTCCGTATTACCTGTTCACCCACCTATACGAAATATTACCTCAAAACTCACTAATGCAACCCGGATCGATATGAAGTTTGGTATACCGTGGGGTTAATACTAAGTCTGGGTTCTGTATTTTCTAGTTTATACAGTACCTTCGCTTACAGTGTTTGATATTAGATTTTAAGTGTGTGTGTGTGTGTGTGTGTGTGTGTGTGTGTGTGTGTATAAACAAAATCAGGTGTTCTTAGGTGAGACGTATAATTAACACACCTGTATTACCGTACCTGTTTAAGCTCAGGTGTTTAAAGTTACCCTGACTGATTCTAGTGCTCGTAGGGTAGAGGGTGAACGTGTAGGTCAGCAAAGGCCTTTCTCCTGACGCGGCGGGAGGGAAGGAGGGTCTTTACACACACACACACGGGTTCGTATAACAGCATCGTAACAATTTCGGTCCCAAGATTATGATCTATAGGTTCAATGGTTCGAGCCGCCTTAAATGTCAGGATCAGTGTGCCTTATCCCGCCTCTCCATCACGCCCATAATCAGTTACCTTACTATCACGCCCGTATTTCTGTCTTATGTTACCTCATCACCACGTCCATGTTCCTGTCCTATGTTACGTCATCACCACGTCCATGTTCCTGTCCTATGTTACGTCATCACCACGTCCATGCCCCTGTCCTATGTTACGTCATCACCACGTCCATGTTCCTGTCCTATGTTACGTCATCACCACGCCCACATACATGCCAGTGACCCCGCACGACTGGGACTGATTAGATCTCCAAAACGAGAGACATTTACGACACCCAGGAGGTCGTGTCGTTGTTGTGTCTCGCAGTTTTCTGGACACGAAAATAAAACCTGACCGCGGGTGTATGAGCCTTCACTCTAACCTAACCTAACCCAACCCAGCAACCCAGCAACAACAGCCCAGCAACCCAACCCAACAACGGGATTGGATGCCATTTCGCCGCAGTCGGCACCACCCACCCAGACAGGAGAGGCATTGTTCTAATATGTCCTGCACACCGCCCCCCCTCACCACCGCCCCCCCCCTCACCACCCGCCCCCCTCTACCCCCCTCACCACCGCCCCCCTCCTCCCCAATCGGTCAGGTTCATTATAAAAAAAAATCTGACTTTCACCTGAGACGCGTGACCAGGCGCCTCAGGAGTTAGATAAGATGGTGTCAGGTCAAGAAGAGAGTTATTAGCATTAGCTCGGGGGCATTCTTTATTTTAATACCAACTGAATATCTCAAATTGGGGTTCATTAATTATCCATCATTAATACTTTTTCTTAGTTAATATTTCGAAACAATGAATTTATCGTGTGATTTTTTTTTTTACCCCAATAGCTTTGATACATGTAATAGAAATTATAATCAAAGTAATTAACTATAATACTACGGTACAGTCCCGTTCACTTGTGCGTTTACAGGGGCTCGTCATATAAACATTCCATAAATAATTACATTCAGATATTTGTTTTAATATTGTTTTAATTTGATATCATATGTTTATTGTTGTGAGTTTCCTTCTGTCAAATGTAAACAAACACAGGGTTCCCACACTGCACATAACCTGACGAGCCCCTGTAAACGCACTAGTGAAGAGGACTGTACATATGGATAAAATGTATCTCGTGAAATAAGTGACTGATTTACGTAAGTATTTTGAGTATCGTTCTCATGAGGTTCTTCACCATAACGCAAATGATAAGTTCTGCCTAATTGGGTGCTTTAGTGGCACTTTTGTCTGATTGGGTACTGGAAATTAAAGGTCAATTAGTATATAGAACGATTGCATAATGCTAATACCTCCTGTTGTGTCTGTTAACAAAGAAAGCTACAAAGGTTAGGTTAGGTTAGGTCAGGTTAGGTCAGGTGAGGTTAGGTTAGGTTAGGCTAGGCTAGGTTAGGTCAGGTTAGGTTGGGTCTGGTTAGGTTGGGTCTGGTTAGGTTAGGCTAGGTTAGGTCAGGTTAGGCTAGGTCAGGTTAGGCTAGGTCAGGTGAGGTTAGGTTAGGTTAGGTCAGGTCAGCTTAGGCTAGGTCAGGTTAGGTGAGGTTAGGTTAGGTTAATTAAGGAATATAACAGAGGAAACTATCATTACAGGTCAGGATTAATGACCTAATTTCCGTCAACACAGCAGAGTCCTCACATAGCACAAGGTCACTCGGGAGACTTTCATATTGAACCGTGACGCTGCTGGCTGTTCCCCTCCCACGTGTTGAGAATGACTGAAAATGAGGTCATGTCTGTCACACCTGTACCACACACACACACACACTCACACACACACTCACACACACACACACACACACACACACTTACTTTTATCACTGGTTGACTTAATCTGACTTAACCATCAGAATAAAAACCCTTTTGTAAATAGACCTACATTAACACAACCTGACCTAACACGACCCAACCTAACCTAACCCAACCCTAACCTAACCTGATAAGAACACCTTGTTTACATAACCTTGAACTAAGCTACAATATAAGCCGGAAAAAATCTCTCTCAACCACCATTACCACAACACTGATGAAATTTATATATATTGCGGGTTTTTTATGCTTGTTTGCTGGAGGTATATAACAATCGTCTCCATTTGTCTGTTTGTATTGTTTAAATCTCCCCTAATAGACTATCTCCCTTAATAGACTATCTCCCTTAATACGTACAATCTGTCTTCTTAACAAATAACACTTTTTTATTTATATATTCTTGAAAACAAAAGAAAATAATAATGTATTGTGAGGAAATCGTTGGGAAGAAATTTGTCTGTCTGTCTGTCTCTGTCTGTCTGTCTGTCTGTCTGTCTCTGTCTGTCTGTCTGTCTGTCTGTCTCTGTCTGTCTGTCTGTCTGTCTGTCCGTTTCACTGCTTCAAGCAAGGATTTTGGAGTGATGGAAACTGCTTTGTGAGAGGCGCTGTTAACCTTGGCAGATATAACGTAAAGATTAGAAACAGACCAATAAATCGTGTAGACATAAATGGTAAAAGAGGTAGAAGGATAGAGAGAGAGAGAGAGAGTGAGAGGAAACGAGAGATAGGAGAAAAGGGGTGAGAGAGAGGACGAAAGAAAGAGGGAGAGTCTGAGAGAGAGAGAAACAAAAGTGAAACTCCAAACTATTATTTACACTTATCGTGTCCACAGAATAAACACTGTCAACTCACACTGCTGTTTGCTGGATGGGTGACAGTTTCTCCTCCCCTATATACTGTGCGGCCGTTCTCGACGCCCACAGCGCCGCCCACATCAACGGCCATAGCTTGTGTCGTGCCATCTGTAAGAGAGAGAGAGATATTTAGCTTAGTATAATCTAGTTGAATATAGCTTGTTATATTCTAGTTAAAATAGCTTAGTGTAATAGCTTAGTATAATCTAGTTCGAAATACCTTGGGATAAAAATTCGATATATGAAGCAGCATTGAATATTTTATATAAGGTTGAAAACGGAAGAAATATAAAATAGTTCTACCTTAACATTATAGAAAGTGGGAAAAAGAGATTAACCCCAATTAGTCTGACTAGCCTTCAATACGAGCTTCAAACAACATAATGCTTTGGTAATTGGGATGAAATTTGATTTACGGCTTTAAATCCATTATAACTAGTATGAATACAGTAGCGTAGTATTGGTATCTGTTATATGAAGGGTCTGTTAGATATAAAAACCTCTGTGTAACGAACTGTATAGAGGTGAAAATCCGTTATATCGAAGGTCTCTTATGAACCTCCCATTTAACGGATTATATGGAGAGAAAAGTCCGTTATATGGAGGTGTCATTACGATATTCATCCACTTATATACGTCAACACAGCAGGGAACGTAAGGCAATGTAACGTCAAGTAGTGTAGGAGAATGTCACAGGTTAAGAGTGAAAGTAATCTTCTTGCTTTTCATGCTGATTACCCTGAAGCATAATGAGTAAAAACGACTTCAATAATTAAAGAAAACGGCATCACATGAATATTAGGCCCCCCAGTTTATTTCACCTGATAATTAAACACGTTACTACTCTGGGAAGGGTTAGGTTAAGTTGAATTATTTTCTAGATAACATTTCAACTTGGTTTTGTTTTTCCAAGGTAACTTAACAGATTAATTTCTTCCACGCAACATTAGCATTTAGTTATAAATTTCCTCATGGTAAGATAATTAATTTAAGCATGTTTTGGTTTTTCTTCAGATAGGAATGACTTTTAAAGAGTTCAATGACATTTTATGGTTTTTCTGGAGTGAAATGTCATAATAACATTGAGACGAGAAACTAATCTATTTATTCGTGTTTATTTACTGTCGCCTCATTTCGCTTCGTGATTTTCGTGTTATAGTTTGGTATGATTTTATCGTTGCTGAATCAGAGTACAATTTTTGTCTGAGATAATAATAATAATAACCCATTTATGCCAAAAATTCATCCATATTTAGTATAGAAACACAAAGGATCATAGAAAACGGAAATGAGTGGGAATCTTTGTCTGGGAGGGGGGCACTAAGATGAGGATAATAATGATAATTCTTTTGATGTGTAGATTTTAACCATTACCTTCACTTCATAATATACTTGGAAACAAATAAATCAAAACTGAATTTAATTAACAGGAGTAAATATGTTACTATGGTATAAAAATCCACAAAATAGATTAGGAATATTAAAAGGAAATCTCTATATACATCATGTCACTTGCTCAGATAGCTATTGCTGTGGGACTGATATTTAGACAGTCAAGGAAGATAATTGTGTCCCTAAATCACAGTGGGTCATATAAAATCCCGGGAATAGTGGTGATTGAGGGTGATTTTATATGAAGTTTAAATGTCAATACTATCCCAAAACTACACTTCCTGCAACCATACGTGACCACAACCACACTTCCTGCAACCATACGTGACCACCCTTCTCACTCAATTACATTAGACCTTGAAGAAATCCCGACGACATCCCCTGAATTGTATCCTGCTACAAATTTATCAATAAACAAGATTTAGCTGGTAATCTCGTCTTTTGTACATGATTCAAGGCCGCAGGATATGACACACACACACACACACACACACACACACACACACACACACACACACACACACGATGCTACCGTAAAGACATAATAGTTAGAAATTAATAACAAATTGAGTTAAGATCTGAGTAATGGATGCGAGGTTTGAGTCTGTACTTAGGACAAATATGCATTATTTTGCATTTGTTACATTTGAACATACTCTATAGGTTTTGTTTTCCTCTGTTTGGTTATACTGTATGGGTTTGTTTACTCTGTTCAGTTTATAATCTATAGGTTTGTTTCACTCTGTTTGGTTATATACTCTATAGTTTTGTTTCCTCTGTTTTGGTTATACTCTATAGGTTTGTTTCCTCTGTTTTGGTTATAATCTATGGTTTGTTTCACTCTGTTTGGTTATACTCTATAGGTTTGTTTTCTCTGTTTGGTTATACTCTATAGAGTTTTTGTTTCCTGTTTGGTTACTGTGTATAGGTTTTGTTTTCACTCTGTTTGGTTATACTGTATAGTTTTGTTTCCTACTATTTTGATTTATACTCTATAGGTTTGTTTACTCTTGTTTGGTTATACTCTATAGGTTTGTTTTCCTCTGTTTGGTTATACTCTGGTTTGTTTCACTCTGTTTGGTTATACTGTAGGTTTTGTTTCCACTCTGTTTGGTTATACTCTATAGGTTTGTTTACTCTGTTTGGTTATACTCTCTACTCTGTTTGGTTATACTCTATAGGTTTGTTTCCTCTGTTGATTTGCTCTATAGGTTTGTTTCCTCTGTTTGGTTATATACTCTGGTTTGTTTCTCTGTTTGGTTATACTTGTTGTTATACTCTATAGAGTTTGTTTTCTCTGTTTGGTTATACTGTATAGAGTTTTGTTTCCTCTGTTTGGTTATACTCTAGGTTTGTTTCCTGTTTGGTTATACTCTATAGGTTTTGTTTTCTGTTTGGTTATACTCTATAGGTTTGTTTCTCTGTTTGGTTATGCTCTATACTTCATAGGTTTTGTTTCCTCTGTTTGGTTATACTCTATAGGTTTTGTTTTGTGTTTGGTTATACTCTATAGGTTTGTTTACTCTGTTTGGTTATACTCTATAGGTTTTGTTTCCTCTGTTGGTTATTTCTCTCTGTTTGGTTATACTCTGCAGTAGGTTTGTTTCACTCTGTTTTGGTTATACTCTATAGGTTTGTTTCCTCTGTTTGGTTATACTCTATAGGTTTTGTTTACTCTGTTTGGTTATACTGTTTTTGTTTCCTCTGTTTGGTTATACTCTATAAGTTTGTTTCACTCTGTTTGGTTATACTCTATAGGTTTCTCTGTTTTGGTTATACTCTATAAGTTTGTTTACTCTGTTTGAATTTATACTGTATGCTCTCTGTATGGGTTTTTGTTTCCTCTGTTGGTGGCATACTCTATAGGTTTTGTTTCCTCTGTTTGATTTATACTCTAGGTTTTCTCCTGTTTCCTCTGTTGGTTATACTCTATAGGTTTGTTTCCTCTGTTTGGTTATACTCTGTAGGTTTGTTTTTGCTTGGTTATACTTATAGGTTTGTTTTACTTCTGTTTGGTTGAAGTACTGTATAGGTTTGTTTCTGTTTGGTTATACTTATAGGTTTTGCTTCTCTGTTTGGTTATACTTCTATAGGTTTGTTTCACTCTGTTTGGTTATACTCTATGGGTTTGTTTTACTCTGTTTGGTTGTATAGGCTTGTTTCTATTGTATGGGTTTGTTTCTCTGTTGGTTATACTATAGGTTTGTTTCTCTGTTTGGTTATACTGGTTTGTTTCTGTTTGGTTATACTCTATAGGTTTGTTTCTCTGTTTGGCTATATACTGTAGGTTTGTTTTCTGTTTGGTTATATACTCTATAGGTTTGTTTCTTGTTTGGTTATTTATACTCTATAGGTTTGTTTCTCTGTTTGGTTATACTGGTTTGTTTCTCTGTTTGGTTATAGGTTTGTTTCCTCTGTTTGGTTATACTCTCTATAGGTTTGTTTACTCTGTTTGGCTATACTGCATAGGCTTGTTTCTCTGTTTGGTTATACTCTATAGGTTTGTTTCACTCTGTTTGGTTATACTCTATAGGTTTGTTTCCTCTGTTTGATTTATACTCTATAGGTTTTGTTTCTCTGTTTGGATACTTATACTGTTTAGTTTTACTCTTTTGTTTACTCTGTTGGTTATACTGTATGAGTTTGTTTCCTCTGTTGGTTATACTATAGGGGTTTGTTTCCTCTGTTTGATTTATACTCTATAGTTTAGTTATACTCATAAGTTTCACTCTGTTTGGTTATACTCTATAGGTTTGTTTCCTCTGTTTGGTTATACTCTATAGGTTTGTTTGTTTGGTTTGTTTTGTTTTACTCTGTTTAGTTTATACTCTATAGGTTTTGTTTACTCTGTTTTATGAATTTATACTCTATAGGTTTGTTTCCTCTGTTTGAGTTTATACTCTATAGGTTTGTTTTTACTCTGTTTGGTTATACTCTATAGGTTTGTTTTCTCTGTTTGTTATACTCTATAGGTTTGTTTACTCTGTTTGGTTATACTCTATAGGTTTGTTTCCTCTGTTTGATTTATACTCTATAGGTTTTGTTTTTACTCTGTTTGGTTATACTCTATAGGTTGTTTTACTCTGTTTGGTTATACTGTATGGGTTTGTTTACTCTGTTTGGTTATACTGTATTGCCTTCAGCTGGGTTATAAAGTAGTATGGTAATGTATAAATGGGTCTGAATTATTAAGTGTTTGCTCAGGGAAAAAGTTAATGACATTGTTTACATAGTGAGTCCCTTCCTTCCTTCCTTCCTTCCTCCCTCCCTTCCTTCCTTCCTTCCTTCCTTCCTTCCTTCCTTCCTTCCTTCCTTCCTCCCTCCTCTTCCTTCCCTTCCTTCCTTCCTTCCTTCCTTCCTTCCTTCCCCTCTCTCCCTCCCTCCCTTCCTTCCTCTTCCTTCCTCTTCCTTCCTTTCTTCCTTCTTCCTTCTTCCTTCCTTTCCTTCCTTGCCCATATCTCCTCACTCTTCCCAAGTATCGCTTTCCCTCACGCTTCGGTCTTTAACAATCACCGAAGTAACATTGACGCCACTTCATACTCCTAAAGAACCCCTCGTTAGCAGGAAGGTGGTTATCAGATCGTCTACAACATTTACTCACTCCTAACACCATATGCTTGAAGGTGGTTCCAATACCTTCTGCAGATGACGTTAGGGGCTCTCTCCTACTCCAACAAGACACTCTGGAGAAAGACTTGCCACTGACGATGCTTTAC